CCTTATACGTTTAGTGTTAAACTACGAACATTCATTCATATTCGCCACGAGCATAAATCAGTTATCATTTACATTAAACGAATTTTGTCAAGCGAAGAATAAACGAACATTTGTTCGTTTGATCGCGTCAACGAACGCATCATTGGATGAGATTTTTTTCTTAATCAAGAAGAAGGGGATAGTAAAAGATTGTAACCTCTTCTTGACATAAAGTGCAGTTGTGCTTTCACGTTACGTCTCTTTTATGCATAAAGTGCACGGAGTATATCGCAAATAGCCTTTGGACACTGTCGAGCATGGTAACGTTGGTGCCTGATTGCGAGCGATATGTTCCCTGAGATATTGCCTGGTACGAACATCCTGGAGCGTTGTCGATGGTCACGTTTCCGCGATCCGAACATCACGCTCCCTTTCTACTCTCTCGCGAAGGAATTCTTCGAAACGATGGAAATGGTCTTCGGGTGGACGCGAAGTCACGAGATTTTATTTTCAAATTGCAAAACTTTAAATATAATGGACGAAGATCAATGCATCCTTGATAGCTGAGTATCGATGGTATTTTATTTTAAAACGATGGATAAAGATTAATCTGTTCTCTCATTCAAGTATAACATTCTATTTCAAAGTAATAAATGTTCAAACATGAATGATGTGAGAAGTAGCCCATTTTTCTTTGTCCAAAGAATTCTAAATACGAGGAGCTAAACTGCGTTAAATATATTTTCGCAAGATAAACGACGAACAATTATTAATCCATTTTTAAGCTTACTGTCCTAATTGCAAAAATGATATTCTAATGGCCAACGGCAAGTGTCGATTTCAACTTTCTCGTCGGAATGTCGTCTTGACCGTCCTGATCGTTCGTGAAAATATCTATCTTGCATTCATTATCACAGGTTTCACTTTTCAGCGCGTGATATATTAGAAAGACAATCCGCGATCGAGATTCGCGAACTTTCTACCAAGTCATTTAAGCCTTATCTCTTGAATTTTTATCAGTTTTCAATATGCTCATATCTAATAAAACCTTTTCTAATGAACTTTAAAGAGCAATGAAATTTGACCCTACTGTTTTCGTATTTTTCACGTGGTAATCACGTTTTAGTTTTAAGCAAAGGGAAGAAGATTTCTGATAACGATAAACAAGTATCATTCAATTGAAAATAAGTAAGGATACAGCAGTTGGATCAGAAACGTTTATGATACCTATAATACGCCCAATAATTAAATTGTGAATTTTTATGCATCAATGGGAATAAAATGATATAAAAAAATGTACGCAATACATAAAACATTTAATAGATAAAACAATATTTAATATAGATAAAATAAAATTGTTTGTGTTTATCTGAATATGCATTCACATAAAAATCCACGCAGTCTAATCATAATTGACAAAATCATACGTATTTACCTACATATATAGTAAATAGTTTCATTTATAATCCTAATTGTTTATCTGAATAGAACATAGAAGTTAGTCTTGATACGTATTGTATCATTAGTCTCGTAAGGATCTCGAACTTACTTGGTGAGAGTTTCGAGCGAGGACGTGTATATCGTGCCACCTACGTCGATGTGTACTGGTGCCGTGTACCTGGAAGCGGCAGCAACGCAGGGTATTCCGGTCATCTTCTGGTTGTAAGCTGGTGCAGCTGGCGTCGGCGGCGTCGGCGACGAGGAATTCGACATTGTGGGCGACGTGGCCGGCGAACTACTTGGCGACAGCAATCTGAGAGAGATACTTTCGACATTAGCCACCATCAGGCTCTGTTCCTTCTGTATGAGGCTACGAAGGTTCTGCCTCGATGTTTCGGGGAAGGACGACAGAGGAAAACATCGTTCTCTTAAAATTTTTTGAAGATGGTTTTCACTTCCGTTTGAAAGTCTTAGGGGAACTTTAAATTTTAATATTCAGCATTTATTGTAGATAATATAGCTTTTAATTTGTGTGTGTATTTTATAATGCAATTGTTAATGTACTAACAACTCTGTATGTTTATTTAACTTATGATACTTGTCCTATGACTTTTGTATATGATATTAATCCATTAAGGATCATTTATCATGCTATTGTAAATACCTACTCTGACTTTTCGAAATTTTATAAGAAGGAAAAACGCGATCTTCATAGACGCAATATTAATAGAATTTAACAATGTAAACTGACTGAAAAGAATAATTAAAAATTATGAAATGTTGCGTTAATGCATTTGAATTTTTTAAATATTAATTTGTATTATTATTTTTTACGCGAATTCTTATAACTGCCTTTTCTTGATTTTTAATAGTTTATAAGTAGATCGCGGACTTTTGTAAGTGCATAAAATCCGCAGTCTGTAGTCGATTGTCCGAATTTAAAAAAATTTTAATATTTACAAAATACGATAACTTTTGTAAATGAATTCTTACAGTTGTATCCTTTCAACAGTTATAATTTTTTAAGTGAATTCCTGTAGTTGTCTCCACTGAATGTTCGATTGTTTGTAAACTACTTCGTAGCTAATTGATTTATTAGTTACCAAGAGAGAAGATATTACTGCTTCCATCGCAAAGATTTATATGCTCGCGTGAGTCTCGTTACGGGCCGCAATCGATTGTTAGATATTACGTAAGATCGAAGAATTTCAATTGCAACCGAGGCCTATCATTTTCTCGATGTTTCATAGTATATTACGCGTTGCTCTTTAAGAGTATAACTTCAACGTGGTTCTATTTACCTCATTTTAATTTGAGCGCTAGGGAACATATTGCGTTGTGTCAGCTCCGCCTTCGCCTCCTTTCCGTCGGCCTCACATTTCCGTCTGTAATTAAAAATTCACGTAACATAATCCTGCAGAGTAATATGTCTAGCATAGTAAAAAGAGAGATAAAGATCTTTATGTTATAAAAATCACAAGGGTAATAAAATCTCTTTTCCTGGAATTATCAAATATTGTAAGTTGAGCAATGAGCTCATTCAAGTTTTCTTAAAAGTATACAGGAACTAGGTATTACCACTTTCACGTAATACCTGGTTTTTGTATACTTTTAAGAAGTATACCACTTGAATGATAAAGTCTGTCTAATCGAGAAGTATTTATCCTACTTTTCTATCTCATGTATTTCTTCCACCGAAAAAATTCGAATACGAGTTATTACTTTCGTATGAAATCTGATCACTTTAATTTCTCTATAAATTTCTCTTACAAGTTAAAGAATTCAAATGCATATATCTAAATAATTTTTACAATACTCTTTGAAATATAGCAACTAGTGAAAGGAGAACGAATTTATTACTCAGTATGTACGTTTCTTTCCTGAAAACTGTTATATAAAGTGTACCAATATTTTGTACCAAAACCATTCTTCAACAGAATTTCTCGTTCAGTACAAGCTTCGAGTTTCCACAAACTCGAAAATAGTAACTACTAACAAACTTTGTAAATCGGAAACACGAATTCCAAAACGCTGCATAAATATGCAGTAACACGTTTCGACCAGCTTTCTCCAGTGAGATATTACTATTTCCCTGTTCTTTTCCACTTTTCCTATTTTGTGCTCTCGCTTATCTCTCGTTCTGAATTCCAAACGATTGGCTCTCTATGGCACGACTCCAAAAATCATCGAGGAAAGCGTGAACCAGACTTCTCCAGAAATCGTTATACCGTGGCAACTATATTTCTTATTTGCAAGCGATGATCATTGAGTTTTATATTATTTCTGTTACCAAGAGTCAAGATTTTACTAAAGAAAACAATAATGATAGAATAAGAGACTATTATTATTTAATATCATCTCGTTTATGAGTGACAAAGATGTCACAGATATTCGTAATTCTTCCACAAACAATAAGGGAAAATGACGAGCATAAAGAAGGACTTTGACTATGCAAAACACGAAAAGATCGCAACTCTGTGGAATTAATTATACTAAGAAAGCTAGCCAATTCAGCAACCAAAGAAAATAATAGCAATGTCTGCATCGTTAAACCGACGATGTTCTTAATCTCTATTTGGATACATAGAATTTAGTATCAGGAAACTAATTGTTCCAAAAATTCCATTAACATTTTTGTCTCATTATTAATTCAGGTACAAGAGTCTGTGCGTATATATATTTACGTACAAACAAACATCTCTCATAAACGTCCGTAAACTCGTCATACGCAGGCACGTGCTTGCCTGTGGTTTCCGGCCATCTTTCTCCCTGATGCTGAAACCACGACGATGGACCGTCGCCATTTAGAAGTCAAAACAGCGGCCGTTACACGCTGACATTAGCACGAGACTTTCCCTCTAACGAGGTCGCGCGATTACAAGCGGTACTCACCGCAGCTCGATTTAATTTATCGATCCTCGCGGTTGGTCGCTGGCGACGATAACGCTGATTTAGCCGGGCATTGTTTTCCGTCTAGCCGTCGACCCGGAAACGCAGCGAGAAGTTTCCGAACGTTGGCGAACGGTAACCGAGCTGCTATAATGATTTTCATATGTATTAATAAGGCAATTAACGGCGGAATAATATTTAAGGAGCAGTCGTTGGTCGAGAGAAAACCAAACTCGCCGCGGTTCGACGAATGAGAAAAGTGGAAGGGATGGTGGGTTTGGTCGGTGGTTTGCGAAGAGAGAGCCCGCACTCATTTCCAGCCTATGTACACATTGCGATTCTGGCTCGCTTTGTTCCAAAGTCCGCTAGTACCGTTCACTGCGCGATATCCTTCCCTCTGCTTCGCACATGCGGCGATACGTGGTTTCGTTGAGAATTCATGGGAACGATCCGGGTCGAAAATATATAATACAGAGCGATTGATAAGAGAAAGTTTGAAATACAGACACCCGCAAAATACTGTTCATGTTCACTCGACGAGTAGAAAAAAATTGTTGATATTTTTAATTGTTCCAACTATCTGCTTAATCTCATTTTACGAGTCTGCTTTTTCAAAAGATGTTTTTATAACCATGCAACTGCTGGCAAAGTACAGATGCTTTTGATGTGGAAGAAACTTTGTACAGCAAGTTTCAAGGATTCGTTGTAAAGAGAAAATTTCGATCTTCAGTGCGTCTAGTTGTGAAAAGCATTTTTCAATGTCTTCAGAGACATAAATAGATGAAGAATGCCTATCAAATCTCGTAAAATTCTATTCTTTTTCGACCAAGTTCTAGTGTACTTATTTCGCTTCGTACTACTTAAAAAAACCATCATTACCACAGTGATAATGGTCGAATGTTTTTTACTTTTTTTCTTTTTTTTCCAGACAAATAACTAAAAAATGAACGAAAAGAAGATTATACAAATTGGATAGAATAGAGTTTACGAGGAAAGGTTAAAGATTACGATAGAATAACAAGGGAAAGTTTTATGATATTAAATCTTTCGCTGTTTCGAGAGTACGTAAGTGAATCATGGTTTGTCCATTCTGTTCTGAATTAGCTTGGAAATATGTTTGGAGATATTTGAAAGCGTGAAACAAGACACGAACGAATTTATAGGTGAAATCAACTTTACCATTTGAAGTTGACTGTTATCAGAGATCGTAGGATTTATGGTTCACTAACGTGTTAAAGTTAAAAGATTATTTTTTTGGTATTACTTCATACTACATTACTTGTTAGTATGAATATTTCATATTTCACGTAGATGACATAAAATGTTAATGCGTCATCGACGAATCTTTTTATCGGTATTGCTTAACATTGACGTTTTCAAAACGTGAGTTCAGAGTTAACAGGTGAGATTGATTTATTATACAGCCTACACGTATATCGTCATTGTTTAGTGTTTCAAGCTAAGCGAGTTAATCTTTCCCTGTATACAAAGTTCATTCTATAAATAACAAAAAGACTCGCGTTCATAATTTATCAATAACGTCAATTTTTCTTTGTCAGTTTGACGAGGATTGGTGTTCATTCGCTGGACAGGTCGTCTTATATTGTTTTAACAACACTCGTGGCTTAATAAATTCAATGCACGCGCGACAAACAACAAAAGCAACAACTATAATAATTAATAACTACCAACGATAGTACGAAATCCTTCCCACGATGCACACGCGTAGAATCCATCAGAACGATCGCATCAAGGATAGTCTTAAATCAACGGCAACATCACCCTGCGATGTAGTCGCTTGCTCTCGAGACTACGCGATTTTCAGCTCGCCCTCGACGACATAAATCATTACATGGGGCTCTGTAACGTTAACTTCCGCCCGTATAAACACCAATAAATACAAGACTGTGTAACGTAGGAGGGGGGTATTAAAGAACCCTGGTCGAAGTAACATCAACCACGAAACTCGAGAAGTAAAGAAGGTTCTCGTCGTCGCGGCGATATTTATTTTCAGCCTGTGAGCCAGAGAGTTCCTGGCGACGTCGATGGGGACGAAGGTAAGGCCAAGGAGACTGGTTTCTCTTTCCACCTCTTTCTCCACCTTTTTCCACCTCCTTTGGCTCCGTTTTCGTCTCCGTCTTCGTCTTCGTCCTCGTCCTCTTCTTCTTCTTCTTCTTCTTCTTCTTCTTCTTCTTCTTCTTCTTCTTCTTTCTCTCCGCGGTATACCAGCATGCATTGCGGCACATCGCCGCAGGGTCCACGTGAAACGCGATGCACAGCGCCTTTTCTTCGTCGCTCCGAGTGGAGGTCGTCGTGCAATCCGCGTCCCCTCGACGTTGCATAGTGTTTTGAGAACGGCTGCTTGGCCGGAAAGGACTCGTAATTTTGTTTTTCTTTCTTCAGGTTTCTAAGTCCTTGAGGGTCCTTTATTAGGATATTAGTTATCCATGAAAGTTTCTTAAGGATTTTTTACTCATCTCTGAAGTATTATTTATCCGTGAAAATTATAGGTAGTTGCAAATAAATAGATATTTCTCGTCGTTTTAAAGGATATTTTATATACTATTCTAGTGATCGATATTTTTTTCTCTTGTAAAAGGTAGATTTTTATCGATTTTCTAAACTTTGTGTCACTTGATTGCTAAAATGTAAGATATGCTTTCTTTCCAGCGATACTCCCACGATATTATTAAATTCTTAAATTAAAATTTTAATAATCTAACTTAATAATGTATAAACCCATTAAACGTTCTATTTATTGCATCTATTAATCTTTTGAATGTTAAGTAAAATTCTCAAAAATGCAAAGCATATATAGCAAATTAACAATAAATTCTTCTTCTTCAAATTTTATATGATATTATGTAAAACGAATCAATAATTTCATATGTCTCAAATTGTTCGTATAATCTTCAAACGAACTGTCAATACATTTCTAATCTCGACGTTACGGATATTCAAAGGGTCAAATACTTTGCAATACTCTACAATCTAATAATCTAATAATCTAACTGCTAGGACTTGAAACTATATTCAAACGGTTACTACTTGACGATTAAAAAAGAAAAGTTAGTTAGCCTCGACTTGCACTCATCGTGAGTTGAATTCGTCGAAGATGAAAAAAGATGCGTCTCCTTGTTGATGGAGGGCGGCAACAACGATGGCCATGCTCATCGCTCCGGGCGACGATCGACGCTCTCGCGCCCCCCCGACGTTTATGAATGTAGAATAACGGATGAATATATACGGCGGCGGTTGTTTGTTTGGGCTTGGTTGGTCCATATATTTTAATTGACGCGCGGCCGTTGGAATCGGGGCAGCGATAAATCCTCCAGGTAGGAGGGAATGCACCGAGGGTGGCTTCGAGAGTGTGAGGTAACGCAAGAAGAGTTGTTAGCTTCAGTAAATGGCCGATGTTGACTGTTGATGAGTACGTTGTTTCGATGGTAAATCGGTTGAAGAGACACGTAATAATAAGTGACACGTGTGGTAGATACTTTTGTATATTATATTGCGATACATCTGACACTATGTAACTTAATTACAACTGTACTGTCCTCACTCATAACTGTAATTGTTTATGAATATTGTTACTATGAATATGATAGGTATTTTCGTTTGATTTATCAATGATAAATTCCAATCAGAAAATTCCAATTCTATAAATAATTTTTAACACAGTCCGACGTGTTAAACCAAACAGAAAGAAACAGAAGACTGTGAGTTGAAGAAGCTCTGTAGCGTTACGTGTAACGACGATAGACCTTTGGATGCCTTTCGGCTATCGATTAGCGTATGTAAATTTCATTTAGTATAGATTCGCGTGTAAACGTAGTTGCAATCAATTTTCATCACGATTGTACGATAAATCGCAAATAAAAGCTACGTAAAAATCAATTTTCTGCACGTCGTTCTCTAAATTTTATTGCCCTTTAATTTCCAATTTAATTCGGTGGTTGTGCAAAAGGTAAATTGCTCTTGTTCCATCAGGTTATATAATTAATGTTGTATTGGCGCATATATATACACAGCAGTAAATTACGAACAAAGAGAAGTAGAGTTAGTCAGAGAAAGTGAATGAACATCGCAACAGCGATTTCAGTAACAGCTGCATCGTTGAGTTGGCGCCTTGTATTGTAAAAATGAGCTGTCCTTGTTCGTGTACGTGTGCACACACATGTGTGGAACGTATGGTTTAAATCCATGGGTCATCAATATGCATACAAACGCAGAACACAAACGTGCATTAGGATAATGAACGCGACGCCGGAGGGTGTTTGCTAAAACACGCTTTAATGCGCTTAGACGACACCGCATCTTTGCAACGCACGGATGATAGGAAATAAGAATGCATTGATACACTAGAGTTAAATTTGATAATACTTGAGTGTGTTAGAATTACATTTGATGGTAGAGTCAACTCTTAAATGGCATTCGACATAAAAATTTGTTTCACATTGCGTAGCTTTCAAACTTTTGATTTAATTTAATTTTATTACTGATCTCTGTTAGAAAAAATAAAATGAAATAACTTTTTAGTCATCTGTGAGCTCACGATAAGAATTAAGAGCTCTGGAAAAAGGAGACTTCTAGTAACATGAACAGACCATAAATAGAATAAATGAAGAAAACGTAAATTTATATCTTCTTTG